TATATATATATATATGTAATTTTTAACAAAATTAGTATCTATCAATATAGGGTGCATGCGCAATGTGCGTATCATAAAACTAGTCTATTAAAAAATATGTATGTTACATTGTGTAATTTTCCGGCGTAGCTCCGCCCATGGTAGTGATAATCTCACTTACTTATATTTGGACCGACATATATCAACACTTGCGTTATACGAGTATAAATCAAATCCAGAAACTTTTGATATTCGGTTGCAAATTAATTAAAAATGTGTAGAGGGATAATATTGAATCTGATTCTATGTTTTTCTTTCTCATGGATATAAATTGATAGTATTGGAGTTTAGGAGCATTACATACATATCTAGTGCATTATTCTGAGGCCTAAGTCACTAGAGGCAGAGGGACTAAGGACTTAAACTTCTTCTGTCTTAAGGTACACTAAGCTAAGGTGTCTTGACTTTTATTCAAATTTTGGCTAGTTTCTTGTTTGCATGCTTCAAAGTTCATAAACCTGTTACGATGATCGTTCTCGTCTTGGACTTGGCCGTGCCCTTTGGGTTGGTCAGGCTCATACGACACTGACGTTAATGAGGAAGGTTTAAAAAAAAGTTCATAACTTGTTTCCTACTTTCCGATATGATGCTTAATTCCTTTTGTGTTTAATGTTGAGAAGCTCTGCACAAGCTTAGTGCTTTCTATTTAAAGAGTTTAACATCTATACTATACACTAACGATATAAAAAACTTTTCATAATATCAGTGGGTTTATTGTTATTGTTGTTGTATAATATCATATTACTCAAAACTAACTATTGTTATTGTTGTTGTATAATATCAGATTACTCAAAACTAACTATATACAAACAGCTATCCATAATAATAGGATGTAGCCTGAAAAATAAGACATATTACTTGCTAATACATATTAAAATACATACATAGTATAAACAATCTTTGCGCTATAAAATCAAAGTTTAAGTTTGTGTACTGTCAGTCAGTGTATAAGTAACTCTTCATAATAAACATGATATAAAATCAAAATATAATTTTAAAAAAAAGTTATACTGTCAGTAACTTGAATAAACGAAACAGACTTATATCCAATAAAAAGAAGACAGAAAAACAAAAAAGCCTCGAAACCGGAAATAGAAGGGGAGTCATTATTTAATGTGCATGTTGGAACTATATGATTTATTTTTAATTCAAGACTTGACGTGGCTACTGGCTAGATAAACATGCTGACACTTAATATATAAACAGCAGCTAGCTCAGTTTATTTCTGAAGTATAGTGGCCTACACATGTTCTTGAAATATTTAAAATCTCCATGCTAATTATATTAATTGCTTGATCAACTGCAGCCTCCGTTTGTTGAATTCTTGATTTTTGGGTAAGAAACAAATTAATGTTTTAACTCTCTGTATAGAGTGGATAAGATTAAGACGTGCTGATGACACAGATTGTTTGAATCTTCTGTTTTCCACATATATGGACAATTATAAATGTCTGCTGAGATCTTATTGCTGATATTTTTCCCTTTTCTATATTAGGATATTGACTTTCTCTGTGTTTTTTGAGGAATCATGAATGCTTTAGCAGCAACAAATAGAAACTTTAAGCTGGCAGCTCGACTGCTAGGTTTAGACTCTAAGCTGGAAAAGAGTCTGCTAATCCCTTTTAGAGAAATTAAGGTATGTCACTCCTTCTCTTTTGGGTGCTTGGATCTTGATAATAGTTAACAGATTTTGTTGTGTTCCTACTTATGCTTTGATGACAAAAGTTTTGGCAAATAAAAACAGATTTTGTTCTGGTTTTGGACTTTGTACTTAGGGAGCTTGACTTAAATTTTTGAATGTTCAAAAGGTCCCTATAGGATCAGACTTTGAGGTGGTTAGATTATAGTTCTTGGCACACTGACTTTTTTGTGTGTGTGTGTGTGTTTCAAAGCAAATGTTCCTGGACTGATTTTCTGCAATCTTTCAGGTGGAGTGTACAATACCAAAAGATGATGGCTCATTGGCATCTTTTGTTGGATTCAGAGTACAACATGACAATGCTCGCGGGCCTATGAAAGGCGGAATCAGATACCATCCTGAGGTTTATTTTTCTTCTCTATGATAGACTACTCATTGCTGATTGTATCAGAAATAGTATTTGGAAGACTGAGTTGTAGTTCTTTTATTCAATATTGTGTTTATGTTGTTATCAATTGATCGATATAGCATATGTTCGATAGTAACTCTTTGGTGTCTAATGTAGGTTGACCCGGATGAGGTAAATGCCTTAGCACAGCTAATGACATGGAAAACAGCAGTAGCTAATATACCATATGGTGGGGCTAAAGGGGGCATAGGATGTAATCCTAGTGACCTGAGTAACTCTGAGCTAGAACGACTTACTCGAGTATTTACTCAAAAAATACATGACCTGATCGGAATTCACACAGATGTTCCAGCACCAGATATGGGAACAAATCCACAGGTCTGTGGATATGATTTTTCTTGCCTAGCATTTTAGTGGATGGAAGAAGATGTCATTTGCATCTAATGCTTTGTCTTCTTAGTGAAATATGTCTTACTGGAGCTAATACAATTTCTTTATGCAGACAATGGCATGGATTCTAGACGAGTACTCAAAATTTCATGGTTATTCACCTGCAGTGGTAACCGGAAAACCTATTGTGAGTACGCATAGCGGAGTTCTTATTCCCAATTCATGTTTTTCTACAATCTATGAACTCATTTTACAAATCCAATTGGTGTTAGATGTTCACTTTGTGAACTTGACTCTACTACTTTTGTGTTCATCACATCTTTTTGCTCTAGTTTAGATATGCACAAGCTTTGTAGTGAAAAACTGAAAATGACTTCTTTATCTATTTGAGGGATCATTGTCAATTTAGCCTAAGAGATGTAACAATATATTACAGGATCTTGGTGGATCCTTAGGCAGAGATGCAGCTACCGGAAGGGGTGTTCTCTTTGCTACGGAAGCACTGCTAAAAGAGCATGGCAAGAGTATTGCTGGGCAGCGTTTTGTTATACAGGTTAGCATAGTCAAAATGTTCACTTCTGTTTTGGGAAGGGGCGGCTCAGGGTGAGGCTAGTAAAGCCTTTTTATAGTAGATTTTATGATATTATCTGTTGTTAGCTGTCACTGGACAAAATGCGAATTTGACAATGTTTTGCCTATTCGTAGGGATTTGGGAATGTTGGTTCCTGGGCTGCAAAACTCATCAATGAGCAAGGTGGGAAAATCGTTGCAGTAAGTGACATAACAGGTGCCATAAAGAACGAGAATGGACTCGACATAGCAAGCCTACTCAAACACTTGAAGGAAAATCGTGGAGTTAAAGGTTTCAACGATGCACGGCCAATAGATCCACATTCAATACTAGTAGAAGATTGTGATGTTCTTATACCAGCTGCCCTTGGCGGAGTAATCAACAGGTACTTTCATGATTTTGCATTGAACTAGTTATCAAGAAGCCTTTTATGTCATATTTGTGATATGTTTGAACTTCTCATTGAAGGGATAATGCAAATGATATTAAAGCCAAATATATTATTGAGGCAGCTAACCATCCAACTGATCCAGAAGCTGATGAGGTTAGTGCAATAATTCTTTTACTTTTCTTTTCTCACAATCCACTGAAGAATGCAAGAAGCAAGTGAAGCAAAATTTACAAAAGGAGGTAGAATAGGCTAGCGCGTCAGTTACAGATCATATTTCAGACGCGCACAAGACAAGTGCAGAAGGGGAGCCTTGGCGTAACTGGTAAAGTTGCTGCCATGTGACCAGGAGGTCACGAGTTCGAGCCGTGGAAACAGCCTCTTGTAGAAATGCAGGGCAAGGCTGCGTACGATAGACCCTTTTGGTCTGGCCCTTCCCCAGACCCCGCGCATAGCGGGAACTTTGTGCACCGTGCTGCCAAGGAAGGCACAAGACAAGTGCAGCATTTTAATTAATTCTAATCCTCTACAGATTTTGGCAAAGAAAGGAGTTGTCATCCTACCAGACATATACGCTAATTCAGGTGGTGTCACCGTTAGTTATTTTGAGTGGGTTCAGGTATTATACCTTCATATGTTTTTCCATAGTTTGCCGCAAAGCACTGTTCTTGTTCTGTTGTTTCCTCTGTTATGCACCAAAAGAACATGTTAAAACTTCCAAGAGCTCTTTTATTAAGTTACCTTATCGACTTCTCGATGTTTTTGAAATGCTAGAACATCCAAGGCTTTATGTGGGATGAGGATAAAGTGAATGCTGAGTTGAAGACATATATGACAAGAGGCTTTAAACATGTCAAGGATATGTGCAAGACTCACAACTGTGATCTCCGAATGGGTGCCTTCACGTTGGGCGTGAATCGTGTAGCTAGAGCAACTGTTCTAAGGGGATGGGAAGCTTGAGAATGAGACACACGGTGGCTTGTTTTTCATTTGAAAACATGGAGTTCACACTTGTCTGTATTAAGAAGAAAAAAATGTTCTACCCAAGGACAATTTGGCTTCTGAATAATAATTGAAAGATGCACTCAATATGCAAACTAGTTTGTTGTTTCTTGATCTTATCTTTGAGTATCATTGTGCCTGCATTTTATACTGGTAGTTTAATCGCTCTCTACTGCCCAATATTTATATCAAAATGAGATGAAGAATTCATTTCCCACCTAACAATCGCCTTTAATCGTGTAACCAAATCACTCCACCAGATTAAAAAAAAAAAAAAAGGCAGCCCAATGCACTAAGCTCCGAGGAAAGGCCGGACCACAAGGGTCTATTATACGCAGTCTTATCCTGCATTTCTGCAAGAAGCTGTTTCCACAGCTTGAATCCGTGACCTCCAGATAACATGGAGGCAACTTTACCAATTACGCCAAGGCCCCTTCTCCACCACGTATACCAAAAGCAACAAAATACATATACAAACCAAGGTTACGCCGAGGCCCCCTTCTCCACCACATATACCAAAAGCAAAATACATATACAAACCAAGGCCACTCAATGAGGGACCTTGATAACCATGTCCAAATGGACTATGCCGTTAATTAGACTAAGAGTTGATTATATGGACAAAATGATGGGAATTAAATGGGACAAAGATTCTCACAATGCCAATTATCTGGAACAAAACAAAGATAAAGGAAGGCTGATTCCATTAACAACAAAAAGGAACTATGATAACATACGTTCACAGCATCCAGAATTACAAACTAAATTGAGAAATCAAAAGTACATTACATTCCTTTTTAAAATCTCCCTCTACCCCTAAAACCGCCTCCACGACCGCCCCGAGGAGGACCTCTACCCCCGCGAGGAGCACCCCTACCGCGAAAACCACCACCTCCTCCACGTCCACCTCTGCCACCTCTTCCTCCACCTCGTCCACCACCTCTAAAAGCTTGTTGCTGTCCCCTGCAACAGTGAAGAGTTTTTTTTAGCATTTGCACAACATAAAAAAGCAAATAAATTATGGAAGGGCGCCTGCAAAGGAATCAAACAATGCCCCCAGAAATCAAATTTTTTTCTCAAGCGCAAGTGCAGGAAACTGCAGCTATAGAGCAGGTTCATCCTTGAGTTCAACTATTTGGAATTACAATATAATACTCCATTTGTATGAAAGGCATTTGATTCCACAAATTGTACAAGTGCATCTCCTCCCTTTGCTAAAAGGTATCGTCAAGTTGCTTACCTCTTGGGCCAATTCTAATTCATGATAAAGTCCGAAAGCTCTCACCATCTTTATCTTATACTCTTCTCTTTTACAAGTTATTCTTGAACATAAACCATAGACATTGTTCCTCAATAGCTTATTTAGCCCACTCAGCATACAAGTATATATCCAGAGGACCACAAATACTAATATCAAACGAAAGGACTAATCAAGTGTGAAGCGTGACGTAAAGCAGAGAAAACATACTTGGGCTGCGGAAGAAATCTGGCCAGCGGCAAAAGCTTTGCTGGGTCAATGTAGAACTTATCTCCAGCTGCATATGAAGTTGCAATAATTCCCTCCGACATCTTAATTGAAAATAACTGCAATAAAGCATAACATGAGCCACGCATCACGAGTTGCGCTCTTAGAACTAGACGAAAGCCCCGGAGGCCAAATTAAAGCTCACTATTGAGCTACAGAGGTAATAAATTTCCTTTCTTTCTCACAAGAACGGCATTTCCATTTACCTTGTTTCCTCGTGAAGCTGTATTAAGAAAGAAACTACTTGCTTCATTTCATTTATACAACACTTTATATTTGGAACATTCCAAAACATTTGACATCATCCCACTTCTATATAAATGCACAACTTTCAAGGATTTGAAATTCACTAAAGATTCAATTTTTAAACAATTATGTGATGATTTCTCCATTAACCTAACATTTCAATCACCCCTTCAAATATTTCTTCCGCTATCACCAATATAATATGTCGAATTAGCACATTAAAATCTGAAAGCAAAATACTGACATATCTATAAAATAGAACAGGGAGTATTAACTTTTGCCAAATGCTAAAATAACAGGGAGTTTCCTTTCGGAAAGCAATGAAAAAGGCTATTGAATTAACAGAACAAGCAGATACAAAAGGAATTCAAATACAAATTGCGGGACATATCGACGGAAAAGAAATTGCACGTGTCGAATGGATCAGAGAAGGTAGGGTTCCCCTACAAATGATTCGAGCGATAATTGATTATTGCTCTCAAATAACCACCACAACAAAATATTAGTGAATTGCATCATTTTTCGAAGAGTTTAAGTTCTATGCACTAACGGTACAAAAATATTACACAAGGTAATTATAGAATAAATTTTCAATCACAAGTTAATCTACACACTAATAATATTAAAAAAAAGTTAACAGTGTATATAGCTTAGATCCTTCTGCGAATATTAAATATTAAAGATTTAAAGCTACAGCTTTATCCATGAAAATTTAAAAGCTAACATATAGCAATAGAAAATAGTACTAGCAAATAACAAATGGGAAAAGAGATTACTTACAGATTCATTAATAGGACCAAAAATTTCATCAACTTTACCAATCTGGGTCTTGTTCTGAAGGTAAATAGGAGCGTTAAAGTAAGGGATTTTTTCATTAGTGAGCTTTGTTACTGCATCTCCTTCACATGCGTGTACAAATGCTGATACCTCTGCATATATTACCATTCACAAAACACATTTTTCATCACATATAGCTTATACACACAGAAGAAGAAGAAGAAAACACGCACGCACACACACAAACGGAGAGATTCAGTTCAATGCAACTATGTTTACCTACGACTTCAGAAGGAGGTCCTTCATCGCGAGGAGGAAAGCGGCCACCGCCACGACCACCACCAAATCGGCCACCGCGGCCGCCGTCTCTGCCGCCCCTAAATCCGCCACCACCACGTCCTCTTGGAGGTCTCATTTTTTAACAGTGAACACTATGAGCGGCCTGGATGAAAGTGGGTTTAGGGTTTTAGGGGTTTTAAAAGTAATACAAGGGGACAAGTATTTGCTCTTCCACTTTTGGCCCTAGTTTTTTTTCTTTTAAAACTTAATTTTGACAAGAAAGTGACACAAATTATCCTTTATGTTTGGAGCTATGTTCAAAGTGGTTTCTTAAATATATTTCGAAGATGTTTTGGTCCTTTAATTTGCGAAAATTAAGTACTTTTGATCTCCGTCAAATATTTAACACAATTAGGTTGTTAGGATTTGCTAAAATTCCACTTAATTTGGTTGTTAGATTTGCTAAAGTTCCACTTGTTTTCTTTCTTCTTCTTCTTTTTATTCGTAACATCATAAAATATTCGAAAAAGGGTCAAATTTACCCTTTACTATTCGAAAAGGACTAATTTTGACCCTCGGTATACTATCGGTTCACCAATATTCCTAACGTTATAAAAATAGTCTGAAATTACCCTTCAATCGTTAACCCTTCCACCATGGCCAATATAATCCCACATGGCCTGACACTTAGCTGAGGTGGATGCCATGCGGCATGCCACCTCACCACCCCAACTTTATTTTGAAATTGCATTTACTTCTTTTTCTTGGGTCCATTTTAGATTCCTTTCTCCTTCAGCTTAGAGTGAATGGCAAAAATGAAGAATTACGAAGCTTAAAAGGAGAGCTAGAGATCAACTCAATCACTATGTGTTTGATCCAATCATTGATTAAACAAACAACTCGTAATAAAAAGGTATATACAATTAATAAGACAGTATAAAAAGGAAAGAAAAAAAGATGAGCACAGTTTACAATGTTCATTTGATATATCAGATTAACCTACATTCTTCGACTCTGGGAAGAACCTGAAAGAACTTATGATGGGATGATTATTGATCTTTACACTGATAGAGTGGTCAAGACTCAAGACACATGGTATGAGAAATTAAAGGAGCTGCAACGATGTCGAGCAAGAGCAGAATCTCGGTATTTCAGCACCAAAAATCGTATCAGTTGATTTACCAATATGAGATCTCGTGTGTTTACCATGAAAATGCTTACGGGAAGTAAACGTATCTTCTATGGTAGGAACTTCGAGCATAGTTTCACGCCTATCTTCTCGATCTGAGTTGTGTCACAACGATACCAGGTTAAAGAAGATACTATTAGTATGTATGGTGTTTTTAATAGATTTATGTTTGATTGGTTCTTACAAGGAATTATAAGCAGCATTTTATTTTAATATTGCTATCTATGGAGCACTAGTCTATAACCAAAAGTTGCTACTCTAGAAGGTATTGAGGGAGGGGATAAAACTGGATTGGGGCAGTGAAGTGGCATGACACGTAGCGTCTACTTCACCCAAATGTCAAGCCACATGGTACGGTGTTGGCCATGATGGGAGGGTTAACAATTGAAGGGTAATTTTGGACCACTTTTATAACGTTAGGGGTACTGTGGATCTATCGTATAACAGGGGCAACATTAATCTTTTTCAAATAGTGAAGGGCAAATTTAACCCTTTTCTGTAAAGTATTTTACGTTATTTGTGTTGTTTGACCTACTATCACAAGTATCCCTTGTCTAATTCCACCGCCTTAGACTAAGGCCTCATTTGTTTGCACTTAATGAGGGTCTGAATCTTAATCATTCAGATCTCACACATTAAATGCGTTTATTTTTAAAGTCTGAATCTTAATTATTCAGCTCTTAATCATTAAGTGTGTTTGTTTTTTTACTTCACAATCGCTTAATCGGTCTGAATAGGTCTGTGTGATTAAGATCTATAACAGAGACTTAATTTCATTAAGATGCTATCACATATTCATTATTAACTGCCGCCACCGCTACCATTATCAACTACCACCATACTCAACCACCACCACCACCACCACACTCAACTACCACCACCACCACCACGCCACCATCATCCTCAATCATAGCCGCCACCATTATCGACCATCACCATCCACCATCCCTACCACTCCGACCACCATCATTCTCACACAGTCAACACTTATCCACCTCAACTACCACAACCAACCACCCCATCACCATTAACAACCACATACGCAAAGCCCATCATTATAACCTACCGCCACCTTCCTCAATCACAAACCACCACCCGCCA